CACACACACACACACACACACACACACACACACAAAATGTTATTTTTGAGTGAAACGGGTCCATGCAGGTCATCTAATTCAATTTTCTTATTTACAAGGGCTCTTAGTTTAATTAGGAACTTATATGTCATGCAGCTAACTTCTTAATTACCAAGGCAAAAGTAGTAATTATTCTAGCTTTTGTTGTGTAACCAATCTCCCCAACTTGGTGGCTGAAAATAGCCATCATTATTTTTTAAATTTTTATTATGACCTCGTGTGGTTCTGAGTCTGAATTGAGCTGAGCTAGGCAATTCTTGCTGGAGCTTATTTGTGCAGAAAGTCAATGGCCAGGCCTGGGGCCATCTGAAGGCTTCCTCACTCACGTGTCTGAGAGTTGATGCTGACTATCAGCTAGGGTTTCTGCCGAGGCTGTTGGCTGGAACGCTTAAACATGGTCTCTCCATGCGGCTTGGGTTTTCTCACAGCTTCAAGGTGCCAGCACCGGATAGGCCCACTCTGATGCCAGCCGCTGGGAACACTGCATTCTCTCCTGCTCCGTCTGTCTTAGGGGTGGTACTAGCCTCCTGTGGTTGCTCATCTTCAGAGTGCTTTCAGGTCCCCTGTTCGGCTCCTCATGTTTTCCATCACCTAGATAATCAGTTATGTCCATCAAATTCCTATTTCAAATGCGAGTGGTTTTTATTTCCTTGTTTGGCCCCTATCTGATATAAAAGGACACGTCTGTGATCTGATGGGTATGATATACCCCAGAGATCCATGAAAGGAGGACCGCACCACAGAACCAATATGTGCCTCCTGTAGGCCCCCTAAGGTAGGAGGCCTCCCCCTGGGACCCACGTGCTACTCAAGGAACAGGGAACAAGGTGGCCCCAAGCGCAGAGCAAATCGAAAAGGACTGAGCTGAATAGTTCGCCAAAAGAGACAGCTTTCAAAGGGAGGTGACATAGTTCTCTTGGCTTCACTGTTCTGCTACCAAACAAAATGAGAGGCTCATAAGTTCAGTGCATTCAATCATAGAAAGGTAAAATGCCTTTTTTCCTACGTGCATGCATAGCCTTAAAATTGCTTGTTAAAATTTGACGCCGGTGCAAGGGGAACGTGCTGATGGGTTTTAAGCAGGGGCTGACATGGGAGGATTCCTTGAGAAAGCTCCTCTGGTTGATCTGTGAAGAATGCGCTGGATAAAAGGCAGAACAGCATAAATCGAGGAGTCCACAAGTGGCCTTTTTTAAGGATTTATACAATATCCCATCAGAGAGGAGGACAGTTTTATGCGCCCTCCAATAAATTGTCTTACTCATAAAGATGACAATACACTCCTGTTTCCTTAGTTGTCAAATACAGATTCCAAAACCAATGTCCTTAAAGACTGTGAGGAAAATACTATAAAGATGAACCCAGAAGGTAAAACCTTGGAGCCTACTTTCCCGCAGAGACCTAAGACTTCTGCCTTAGAACAGACACAAATTAATGCAGGATTTGCTTTTAGGAGGTAAATGCTTATGGAAATAGTCTCACTTCTGCTTCTGCGTGACTAGAGGGTTATTTCAGAAAAATCCTCAGAGTTAGTCACATTTTATTTCTACAACTGTGTTCCTAACTCTTCACTGCCTTGTGACATACTTGATAACTACCAAATGTCGAAGTTTTTGTCTAGGCCAGAGTTTCTCAATCTCACCGCTGTTGACATTGTAGGACAGATAATTCTTAACCAAGGGAGCCCTCGCCTGTGCCGTGTGGCATGATCACAACGTCCCCGGCCTCTGTCCACTGGACCCAGCAGCACCGCCTGAGTTGTCACAACCAAAAATGTCTCCAGATCTTGTCATGATGTGTCCCACGGCAGGCAAAATCGCTCCCGATTCAGAATCAGTGGTCTAAACAGAGCAAGTTAGCTGTGGGATGTAAATCAAGATACACACATTGAGTAAGCTGTAGTGATGATTTGGTGGAAGGTGATATTGCTGGTAACAAAAATAGTGGTGGTGATGATGATGATGACGATGACGGTAAGTTGGTTATTGTTTCTTTCACTCGAAGCTATGAGCTCCTGGTGGAGGGGGGTGGGGGAGCCAGAACTAGTTACTACTGACTGTCGAGGGGCATTATAGGTGGTGAAACTAGCACCGTGAGCAGGTACTGGGTCTGTTTTGTTCACTTTTGCGAACCTAGAACCTAAAACAAAATCTAGTCTATAGGGTGTGCTCCATGGTTATTTGGTGAATAAATGAGTTCATGATTAGCTGCTTCCTGCTCCCTGGTACAACCATAGAAAACCACATGAGGACAACCTATGAATCAGGAAAAAAAAAATTACGAAAGACAATATAGATCCCTAACCCAACGCTTTTGTTTTATGGAGACACTGAACATGTAAGGAATTTCTCTGGGTCCCAGACAGTGCATCAGTGTCATTGTTGGGGCTGTAATCCCATGACTGGCCTTTCCTCAATTTAACAAATACATGTTACGTTGCTATGGGCTCAGTTATGTACTAGGTGCTTGGAACACAAGATACTTAAGGATTGGTCCAGAATAGGAAACAGGATTGTCCCGCCTGGTTCACTGTTCTGAGAAAGACCCCTGGGGATAGGATGTGATTATTCCTGAGACCCAGCACAGCAGGGCATAGACAGAGGACAAAGAGGCCCTGCTTCCAGTCACATCACTTATGCAGCCAGCCCTGTGGCTTTCAAAGCCTCCTATGGAAAGACAGTGCACAGTGGGATTCCTTCTTTGAATCTTTTCCTTGAATTTAAGCCTCCTTGACCAATTGGTTCTGTATTTCTCCCTACATTTGTTTAGTTGCTTTGTTGTTCTATACAGACATCAAACTCTTGACTAAATGTGCCATGCACAAAAAGTAGGCACTCAATGCCCCCCATTTCCTTCCCTGTCTCCTCCCTTTTATTTCCATGGTGCCTTTAAATATTCACTCACAGGCCGGCCAAGTGGCGCGATGGTTAAGAACTGCCTTGGGACGCCAGAGGGCCCCGGTTCGGATCCCACATATGAGGGCCAGTGACACTGCCCTCCACAGCTAAGATGCTGAACAACAGCTCAACCTGGAGCTGGGCTGCCGTGAGTCGCCAGTGACGGCGTAGGCTGCAGCCCCTGTGGCAGTGGGTTGCCATGGGCTACCGTGTGTAGCCAGCAGCCAGCGTGAGCAGCCAGCAGCCGCCGTGAGCGGCCGTCCAGAAGCCGGCGACTGATCTGCCTCGCCCGGGAAGAGCGCAATGATGGTGCCAACTTGGGCCAGTGAAGCAACGTCCTCCACAACTAGACTGAAGAACAAAAGGACAGCAACTTGTTTGTTCCCCTTCCCCCAATTCCCCAGCGCTGTTCCCATCCCCCCAATTCCCCAATAAAAATCTAAAAAAAAAATACAAAAACAAAAAACCTTCTAAATATTCACTCACTATTCCAGATCCCTGTTCAAGAGTAAATCAATCAAAATTGATCCTACTGCCTTTGTTTCCTGTGCTATACCACTGAGGATATTGAAATTAAGAAATCACACACACACACACACACACACACACACGCACACGCACACACGCGCACGCGCACACATCTCATTTGATTGCACTTCACAGATGTCACGTTTCTTTTTACAAATTAAAAGTTTGTGGCAACCCTGCATCAGATCTATGGGCGCCATTTTTCCAACAGCATTTGCTCTCTGTGTGTCCCTGTGCTGCGTGTCCATCTAGGTTTGTGTAAGTGCACTCTGTGATGGCATCACCTCACAACGCATCTCTCAGAACATATTGCTGTCATTAAGCAACGCATGGCTATATACGCAGATGTGTGTACCTATCTCCTCAGGGAAAGTCCTACAGGAATAAAACTCCTCACTGTTGACTGTCAGAGCTTATAACGAGTAGGCCGCATTCAAGGGATCCTCAGACCTCCCTGGGCTCCTTCAGCCAATCACAGCAGCTTCTATGGTTCACCTTTGGAGGACTCTGACTGTTGCCAGTGGTTTCTTAGAACCCCAGCATGTAAGCGAGAAGATGTACATGCATGCTGATGTGAAATTTGATATTTCATTAAATGACCCACCATCCTTTCATTTCAAGGTCTCCTCATCTTTCTGCCCTGTTTCATTTTGTTTCAAATGAAGAAATGAGCATTACACCCATGTCAGAGGACAAGCCAAACGGCATGACTTCACATCGCCCTTAGAGCCATATTGGATTACATAGCTTCTCAGCCCCTTTGCTCCCCATGTCCCGATCGGAACTTTCTATATCATTCAGAATGCAGATGTGGGCGTGAGGAGGAGGTTTCCATCACCAGGGCTTGGCCAGACCATTGTGATGTCACCTGAATAACACCCCTGTGTTCCTTTAAGTGGGTTGGCATCTACAGGAGAGAACATCCCATTTGGAGGGAAAAGCCTGAGAGATTATATTCGGCCTTTTTCTTTACCACAATTATTATTATTTTTTTTTTTGCCATGCTCTTTAATTATGTCTGCTCTCTTAGCTTGAATGATTTTCCTCGTTTTGATCACACAGACCAGTCTCCCTCAGTACATTCTGTTCCTTTTCGTAGCTCTCTGCCCAGTTACAGGAACACGCTGGTCTATTCTCCAAACAGCCATTACTTGCTGAAATGAAGAAACCAACTACTAAGGATTTCAGGGAAATAAAGACATAATCAGGAAAAATTGCAAAGGGAAGGCTTTTCAGCTAACCTTTTTAATTCGCAATTTCATATACAGGGAATCATGTCGATGGGTAAAATTCTCCGATATTTATATTAACGACTTCTCCAAGTCTCATAGGATCTAGTTAGGCTATTTTGAAAGACAGTTAAAAATAACCTTTCTTCTATTGCCTCTAACCTGCATGTTATTAAAACCGGGTCTTGTTTTCCTTTGTTTTGCGCTGCAGGCCAAAGACCAGGTTTCGTAGATGAACAATCAAGTGATGGGAACTAGATTTTGCTAAAACTACAAGGTAACAGTCTTTGCTAGAAACGCAGGCATGTGTCAGCTTAAGAGGCAGGTTTATAGGGAAGGTCTTTTTTTTTTTTTTTAGATTTTTTTAATTGGGGAATTGGGAACAGCGCTGGGAAATTGGGGGAAGGGAAACAGACAAGTTGCTGTCCTTTTGTTCCTCAATCTAGTTGTGGAGGGCTGCTCCACTGGCCCAAGCTGGCACCAACATTGCGCTCTTCCCGGGCGAGGCAGATCAGTTGCCGGCTTCTGGACAGCTGCTGCCCACTCACACTGGCTGCTGGCTACACATGGTAGCCCATGGCAGCCCACACCACAGGGGCTGCAGCCTACGCCGTCGCCGGCAACTCACTGCATCCCAGCTCCAGGTTGAGCTGTTGGTTCAGCCTCTTAGCTGTAGAGGGCAGTGTTACTGGCCCTCATATGTGGGATCCGAACCGAGGCCCTCTGGCGTCCCAAGCCAGTTCTTAACCATCGCGCCACTCAGCCGGCTCCGGGAAGCTCCTTTTTTTTTTAACACTTGTTTCAGCTTTTCACTTTGATGGGCCCTTTTGAAGGCTCTGAATCTAATTTTGTATTTGTAGTTTTGATTCTTTAAAAATAATAAAATGAGGTGCCGGCAGAGTGGCTCAGTTGGTTAAGAGCTCGCGCAAGAGTGCGAGCTCTGAGCAACAGCAGTTTTAGTCCGGCCCGAGCTGAATTGCTGCTGAGCTGCCAACACATGGCAGGATGGCTCAGCTAAAAAAAAAAAAAAAAAAAATGAACCCTCCCTTGTATACGTGAGCAACATAGGTCATTTTATATTTCCTGCGTATTAAGTAAAAGACAAAGGTGAAGTGAATTTTAATCATATACTTTATTTAATCCCATATATCCAAAATAGTCTTATTTAGACAGGTAACCAATATAAAAAAATTCATGCGATATTTTACATTTTCTGTAGTAAGTGTTCAAAGCATGGTGTGTATTTTATACCTGGACATACCTCGGTTCAATGTAGCCATGTGTCAATGGCTTGAAGGCCACGTATGGTTGGTAGCTAGTGTGTTGGACAAGGAAGTTCTAGATCTTTCTCTTACAAACAGAATGCTCTTGGACATGTCATTTAACCGTTCTGTGTGTGCTCACTTCTTATAAAATGGGAGATACATATATATTAAAAACAACAACAAAAAAACCTACATCACAAGTGAAATGTGAGGTTAACTAGGTTAGCAGAGAACTAGCCACATTCTTTTACTTTAAATTTTCATTGGTGGGTGTAAGCGAAGCTTAACATGAACATTTTCCCACTATTTTAAACAATTTCTGGTCAGTCATGTCACCAAATGGTTTACAAACAGCATTACAGAATATTGTCGGGGATTAACTGATGGTTTGATCCATTAATGAGATTACACGTTAGGTATCAAGATGGAGAAGGGTGGGCCCAGGTCATGGGCTGAATATAAAAAGCTTATTGCAACAGGAATGCCAAGAAGCCAAAAACAGAACCAGTTGGGACATCCTGTGAAGACTACCATTTACTGATCAACTCTAGGCCAAACACCGAGCAAAGTACTTCTATGTCCATTCACTTAACAACAAGGGCACACAAACAAACATGCAAAACCCTGTAAAGCAGGTTCTCTGATCCTCATTTTAAAGATTGAAACAGAGGCTGAGAGTGGCTGACAATTTGCCAAAGCTGATGCAGCTGTGAGGCAACTCTTTTCATTACCTTGTGACAGCCTCCTCATCTCACTCAGCACGTGAAGGTGATAGGGGCTGGGGTGACAGGCCGGATACCGGCCCTTTGCAGAGAAGCGTGGACTAATTATTTTAGAGTGAAACTCTTCCTTTATCTATAAGCGGAGAATAAACGCTGAAACACAGATGGTAGAAAACGGAACCATTTTCTCTGCTGTCTAAACACTTGCATTAGCGGTGTTTCTCTGTGATGTTTAGAAAACAGGCACAAACTCATCTTTCGTTAGATAAATCAGGACAACCAGATGGAGCCACAACTCCTTTTTTTATTAGTCCCATTTATTAAGAGTTTGGCAACTCACTTGCGAAAGTCTGGTCTTGCAGGGAACAGCCAAGGAAATCTGTGGAAATAGGGTTTTTTTGGTGCAGTGGTATGGGTGAAATAGAGAGAGAAGTAGCAGCTCTCAAAGACCAACCCCAGAGAGCACGTGGCTCCTGTTATATCTGGCTGGCTCAGCAACTATCCAAGTTATGGGGCTACAGGGGATGCTGTCTAGACCAGTTCTTTGGCCTTGGGGTTGGCAGAACATAGAACCAGAAAGCCAAAGCATGGTCCAAACATCTCACTGCATTTTTTTCTGGTAGACAGTCAAGCTGGATGGAAACTGAATCTCAAACAATTACCAAATAGCAATAAACAAGACACTAAAAAGACTGCACAGGATTTTCCTCAGTTTTTGATAGGTCCGCCCCGGCTTTTGAGCTATAAAGCATGACATTTCTGGAGTGAGTATCCTTGAGAGAAAAAGCACCATCTTAAAGATGGCTTGATTTGCCAGCTTGAGATCCCTGCCACTACATCAGGGGCGTTCTCTAGTTTCAATGATGATGCCACGAGAGGAAAAACACATCGCTGTAGAATTGAAATAATTTATTTACCACTAGAGCACCACAAGACAGACATACATTGTGTTAAAATACAGCATAATCAGTCATTGAAATACAAAACAGCTATTCTTATATTCCATCTTTTAAACCATGCCAACCATAAAATTGTACTGCTGCTTAACACATAAAAACTGCTGCCCCCCCC